CCAGGCTCTGAGCTGTCAGCACAGAGCCCGACGCGGGGCTCGAACCCATGAACCGTGAGATCATGACCTGAGCTGAAGTCGGATGCTTAACTGACTGAGCCACCCGGGCACCCCCACTTTTAAAAGAAAACTGTAAGAAAAAAACGGTAGGTAGAAGAGTGTGCTGGAGGAGGCAGCAGGGACAGAGCTGGGGCCCCAGCCAGGACACTAAGTCTTGGTATCTCTGTCAGATGGCCACAGTCATGGTGCCCACATCGTAGGATATCTGTGATGATTGAAAACAGCAGGGCCCACACAACCCTTGGACCGGAGCTTGGCACATTGGAAAATGCCCTGGGCCGGGCAGGGTGGATACGATGAGGCTCCATCCCAGTCAGAGGAGAGAAGGTGGGCAGCGGAGCCAGGAGGTCCCAAGGTTGGCAGTGGGAAGACAGAGGCGAGCCTGCCTGGTGGGTGTACTTTCCCACTGAGAGATGAAGGTGGGGCCTATCAGCAGAGTCTGGGGCTCCAAGTTGCTGGGGAGGGACTGTGATGGGCTGGAGAATGGCCCAAGGCTGGGGCGGGGGGTGGGGGTGGGGACTGCCAGTACAAGCCCTGGCCTTGCCCTCTGAAAGCCAGTGTTCTCCCTCAGACTCAGAGCTTGGGCCCCGGGGCTAGTGGGCACGACAGTTGAGGCCGTGCTCTTGATGTTCCTCTGGGCAGTGCTGTGCTGGGAACCAGTGGTTTTCTGCACCTTCCTTCCATGCCAGGAGGCCATCTCAGCGTAGTAGACCAGCTTTAGGAGGGAGGTGGTAATTCCCACACTTCTCTTTTGTGGTGGTGGGGAAGGTTCTTGGAGAATCAATACCTCTTGGAGAGGCTGGAGCATCTGTCCACCTGCGTCAGGCCCGGAGCTCTCACATACGGCTCTTCCTGCCCGTTTTGCCAGATGACTGGCACGCAGCCTCCACCTCCCCCCAGCACACGTGGACCCCTGGAGCAGAGCACGAGACTGACTTCCACTCTCCTGCTTTCATGTCTGTGTATTGGGTGAACGACAGGCTGAATCTGATGTCCCCTGGACCCCTTTCTCTTTTTGCTCTTTCCTCCTACCTTCTTTCTGCTACCTGGCAAGTGCATTTAAGGGCTAAAGCTCTGGCCGCCATTTTGGAGCATGAGGGGTGTAGTGGATTGAATTGTGGTCCCCCAAAAAGATGTGTTGAAAACCTAACCCTCTGTACTTCAAAATGTGACTTTTATTTGGAAATAGGATCATTAACGGATGGAATTAGTTTGGATGAAGTCATAGTGGAGTAGGCAAGTTGGTAACCCAGTAGGACTGGTGTGCTTATCAGAAGAGAAGAGATAACAACAGAGAAGGTCATGAGACGAAGGAAGACACTGGAGTTATGCCTGCCACGAGACCCAAACCGCGAGTGGCCACCAGAAGCCAGGACAGCCTCACGTAACAGATTGTCCCTAGAGAGTAGAGAAGGGGTGGGGGGCTCAGTCCATTGAGCATCCAATTCTTGATCTCACCTCAGGTCATGAGTTCGAGCCCTGTGTCAGGCTCTGTGCTGACAGTGCAGAGCCTGCTAGGGATTCTCTCTCTCTGCCCCTCCCCACTTGCTCACTTGTGCTCTCTCAAAAACAAATCAATAAACATCAAAAAAACAGTTGAGGAGCACGGCTCATGGACACCTTGATTTCAGACTTCTGCCTCCAGGACTGAGAAAATTTCTATTGTTTGAAGGCACCTAGTTTGTGTTGGACTGAGCTCCACCCTCAGAGGACTACATAGATCTCTGAGGATGGACGTTCGTGCCGAAGACGGTGTGACAGCGTCAGGGGAGGCCCGGGCCCCACTGACCACGGACTGTCGCTTGGGTCTGACCGCTTCAAAGTAGTAATAAACCCTCATCTACGTGAGTGCTGTGTGTTTCAGCCCTTCTGCTAGAAGTAAAAGTTTGATTCCTGGCTGGAGACTGGGCGGCCCTGCTACCTGCAGCCTCTGGCCAGTTTCTCTGAGTCCACGCCCCACGCAGGGCCTCCACACTTGCCGGCGCAGGACTGGGGCTGGCTGCCTGGAGATCCCTTACTTAGCACAGCCCTCCGGGTGCCGGGAGCCACGCCGGCCTCGCTGGGTGACGGTCACAGCGAGGAAATGGCAGCGCTTGCACAGCTCCTGCCACGAGGAACGAAAACTGGGATCTCCTTCTGCTACTGGCTCATGTTGGAAATGAGCCTGTGGGTATTGACCAGGCCTCACAATATTCCAAATCAGACCGATATTCCCCACACAGATTGCTCATAAGGAAATGCACATCCCTGCCTTTTCCAAAGAGACTTCAGATGAAAGCTCTGTGGATGATTGTCAAAAGGCTCTTCCTATGGGCCTTGCAGATCCAAGACTTAGATAATAATAAAGGGGGCTAAGAACACGAGTTACAATGGAGTCTGGCCCTGAGACAAAGAGCCTAATCTATGGTTAAGGGCAGATTCCAGCCCACCCGCTTGTTTCAGCTTGGAGCACCGCCCCCCCCCCCCAGGCATTTGTGATCAGTATTTGGAGTGACTTTTTCTGGCCTTGAATATGCTGATTGCACCCTGTGAAGGAACCTATTGAGGAACTTCTTTTGTGATTATGGGTGCAGAGGTGTTTCCTGAAAGACCTGTTTGACCCCTGCTCACAAAGAAGTAACTTCACCCTTTTTATGCTAAGAACTTTGTCTTGGATGCTAAAGATGCCTTCCTTCCTCATAGGATAAGCATCTGAATCATCTACCTCAATCACTATTGATAAAGGTTATGCCTGAGTCTTCTACAAATCTATGTTCTGGGAAATTCTTACATATCAAAGAAGTTTGTTATCAGAAATCATTGTCTAAGGCAAATGCCACTTTTGTGCCGGCCCCCAAACACTTACAAAATAAAGTTGAGCCCCAGTCAGAGCAGAGATGCCTGCCTGGTGACCAGAAAGACTCTCGGGCCTCTCTCACCCCTCCCTCGCCGACGCCGTCCATCCTTCAGGGACCCCTGGACCCGCCGGAGCCGGCCCCTCCCGGCTGCCTTCCTGGTGGGGGACACCGCGAACGGCAAGGACAGCAGCTGGGCTCCAAGGGCAAGAATATGTTTATTGAATAGGGGTGTTGAGACATGTGGGAGGGAGACTGAAATGGCAGGGGCTCTCTGGGGACCCAGCTGCAGGCTCCACACTGGCTAGCAGGCCCAAGGAGCTGGGATAGCCCAGGGCCAGCAGCCAGCGTCAAGGGCCGGAGCGTAGAGGGGTGGACATCAGAGGGTGATTTTGTCCTCGTATAGCGACAGCAGCAGCAGGACGGTCCAGCCGCCCAGCAGGCCCATGTTGTGCAGCAGGAAGAGGAGCCAGGGCCGCTCGTCCCGCACGTGCAGCATGGCCGGGAGCTGAGGAGGAGGGAGGCGCGGGGTCAGCGGCCAGCTCCCAGCCCCTGCTCGCCCACCCCCAGGGCAGCCGACTCCTGCCCTCCATCCTGACCATGTCGCAGAGCGCCACGTAGAGGAATAGGCCGGTGGCCACCGCCAGGATCCAAGTCTCACTGTCCTCGCCAACGTCGACCGCTAGCGCCACGTAGAGGCCGATGAAGGCAGTCAGCGCTGAGGCCAAGTTCAGCAGCAACGCCCGGCGCACCGACAGCCCCGCGTGCAGCAGGGCCGCGAAGTCCCCTGGGGTGGGGTGGGGGGGGTTAGGCCGAGAGCCCTGCCCCTGGCCGGCGGCCCCCCTCCCAGGCCCTGCCTCGCGCTCTCACCTAGTTCGTGTGGCACCTCGTGGCAGAACACGGCCAGCGAGGTGGCCAGCCCGGTCTTCCAGGAGGAGGCGAAGGCGGCGCCCACGGCTAGCCCATCGGCGAAGTTGTGCAAGGCATCGCCCAGCGTGATCACATAGGGCAGCAGCCTCAGCTCTGCAGGTGCGGTGGACCTGGGTCGGCGCTGACCTGGTCCCCCGCTTCGGCGCCCCCACTTCTGCTCCCCCGGCCCGCGCTGGCGCTCTGCACCAATCCGTAGCCCCTAATCCTTCTGGGGCTTCCCTCGGGGCTCACCTGAGCTCAGTTTCCGGGGCTCCAAGCTCAACAGCTCCGGGCTCTCCTCTGCCACCTGGAGGGAGTAGGTCCGTGTGGCTGAGGCCCTGGGCAGGGAGGTGAGGAGGGGCGTGGCGGGGCTGGGTCCCCGGATGGGCATCGGAGGGAGGAGGCCTCGGACAGAGGCCCTGGGGTGGGGGCGGGGCCTGGAAGGGGTCCTTTCAGGGGAAAGCCCGTGTCGTGTCGGGTGGAGACACTGGGGAAAGGGCAGCTCACCAGGTCTGCGCGGGAGCCTTCGTGGGGCTGCTTAGGCTGCCGGAGCTCGCCGGGGGCTAGCTGCAGGGCCACGCCGTGGCTGTGTCCGCCGTGGCTGTGGCTGCAGGGCCCATCCCTGGAGTCCTGTGGGGACGGTGGCTCAGGGCCCAATGGGCCTCCATGCTTCTGCCCCAGCCACCCCCCACCTCCAGCCCCCACCTCACCTCAGGGTCCAGGGGCAGTAAGAGGTTGAAGAGGTTCTCAAACAGGAAGAAGGTGTAGAGGCCACCCAGCACGGCCACAAGGCGCCAGGTGGGCTGTGCGCCAAGGCCCTCCCCGCTGTGCGAGTGCAGCCCCAGCACCTGGGGGGAGAAGGGGGCTTTAAGGCCTCCCCACGCCCCACCCCTAGCCCGGGGGACCAGACTGCAGGGTTGGCCTGCGCAGGGAAGTTCCAGTCGGGAGGGAGGGGCGGCGGGCTGACCTTGGGTGTCAGGTGGAGGATGGCGTCCCCAGTGAGCGCGCCCACAGCCATGCTCAGGAAGGCCTGGATGACATAGTGGGAGGCAGCGCTGTAGGTGGCGCAGGTCAGAAGCAGGAGGCCAAAGATGGCGCAGAGGCAGATGAGCAGCGTGGCTATGGAGCCGTACAGGTACCCTGGGGAGGGGGCAGGGGCGGCCGGGCTGAGACGACAGCCTCTCTTGCTTCCCAGGGGAGGGGCTCCAAGTGGGGCCCGGGAGTGAGGTCGACAGGGATGCAAGTGGTCAGGGACAGGCCGGGCCTCTGCCTGTGCTGCCCCTTCAGGCCCCATCCTCTTCCCATCTAGGCCCCCGTACTCCCCTGCGACCCCTCCACTCGGACGCCCCGTTCTCTTGCCAGCCCTGGCCCAGCTTTTCCCACCCCTCCCCTAGCCCTCCTCCCCGTGAGACCCCACCTCTGTGGCACCAGCACCGATGGGTGCAGCAAGCATGCACTACTGGAGAGGCAGGCACTCACTTTCCACCTGGCTGAGCTGGTCCTGGGTGGGGGTGCTGGGCTGGGGGCTGCAGGCCCCACTTAGTTGCTGCTGGAGCAGGGCCGGGCTCAGTTGAGCCCAGAACTCTGGAGTCACCCCATCCTGCTCAGACAGCCCATACACCGCCATCACTTCACTGGCACTTAGGCATACCTGAGGGGAGGCAAGAAAGGGGGTCAGGGACCTGAGCAGACCCGTGAGGCCCCACCTCTCCCCAGGATTATGCTGCACGGGCTGCTCACTGTGTCCCACATGTCGGAGCTGCTGTTAGGGGTCATAGTGGGCACAGGGCCCTGGTGGTTGGCGCCCTTTCCCAGATGACTGTGGTCACTGTGTGACTCTGCCACTCTGCCTACCCCCAGGCGCTGCATCAAGGCCTCCAGCTCTGGTAAGGAGGACAGAATCACAAGGTGTGCCTGGGCCCCAGGCCTGCCCTCCGCAGGGACATGGAGGCTGGGGACTCGGGGCAGTCCCCACCCTCCGGCCCCGCCACAGCCTCACCAGTCAGTGTGATGTTGGGCGTCTCGCCGCTGTGCTGCCGGAACACAAAGTCTACAAAGTACTGGGGGCTTGGCAGGGCGTGGAAACAGGCCCCACTGCTGACGTGGTCCACCAGGGTGGCCAGGACCAGGCCAGGGTCACCGGGAGATCCTGCCCCTGCTGCCTCCTCCAGCAGCTGAGGCAGGTCCACACAGGCCTGGGGCGGGGGAGAGTCAGGGCTGAGACTCGCCTGCAGGGTGGCCTTCCTGGCCTCCAGCTCTGCCATCAACCCTAGTGCCCCCTGCATGCCACTGACCCCAAGATCTGCCCCAACGTGACCCCAGACCAGCCTTCTCAGAGCACCACCACCTATTCCTGCCAGCCTACGACCTGGGCTGGGCCTGACCCCTCCCTGAGCTCCCTCCCTGAGGGCCCAGGATTCTTCTCAGCTCCACCCCCCCCACCCCCCGGGCTCCTCAAGTCCCTGCCCTGAGCGGTAGCAGACATCCATTTGTGATCCCACAGCCTCACCCAGCCTCCCAAGTAGGTCCCCAAACTCCCCCTAAGTGTTCAGGTGTCCAGGAAGGTGTGTGGGATGTTCTGCCCACTGCAGCCAGGCCCAACCCCCAAAGCGGTCTCCTTTCTCTGGGTCCCCTTAGATCCTCCTCACTACTCCCTCTGACCCACCTCCCAGGCCCTCACCTTCTCTGCAGCGGGCCAGCCAGAAGTCTGGGCCTGAATCCTTTGCAGCAGCCTGCCCAGGCCTGGGGCCAGGGCCTTGGGGCCCTTCAACAAGGCCAAGAGATGGTCAGCACGGGTGGCCCAGCGTCCAGCCTGGACATCTGCACATGTGCCCTTGGGGTCACTGAGGTAGAGGGCGACAGCAGCACTGAAGCGGGCGATGTGCCTGTGCTCTAGGACTGGCCCCCCGGGGAGCCCTGGCTTCTCAGGCCTGCCCAGGGCCAGCGCATCATCCACAGTCAGGCACTATGGGCAGAGACAGGGGCCCAGGGTCAGGCAGCTGCCGGCTCCCTGTGGGGCCCACGCACACTGGTCTCCCCCTTCCTCTCTCCCACCCACCCCTCCATCATTGCTCTTTCACACACTCCCAAGGTCACCCCCTCTCGATTACACACATGTGTACAGGCAGACACACACACACACACACACAGGGGTTGGGGCAGTAGCCCCCCCATCCCAGAGTGGCTTCTTCCCGTAACCACTGCCAATGTGATGACCTGGGGACTGATGGAAGAGGTAGCCCTGAGGTCCTGGAGCTACATGTACCCAGCACAGCCCCCAATCCTGGGAGCGCAGGCTGTCAGAACTCAGAGCAGAGGAAGGTGGGCACGGGCCTGCAGGTAGGGCCTGGGTGCTTGGCCACCCAGCCTCACCTTGGCCCGCCTCCTGGAGTTTGCCCAGGGCCCTTTGCTTCCAGCCCTGGGGTGGAGCGGGCCTGGGCTGGGGGACCCATCGGGTGGGGCAATTACCTTTCCACACGGCCCGTTGGCGCAGTGCACACGGTCCGCCAGTGTATTTAACAGGCTGCCCAGCACCACAGGGTCCAGAGCACCCTGGCCTGAGGACAGCAAGGCCAGTAGCCGGGCTGGCTGAGCTGCCATCACGGTCACCGTCACCGTCAGCACAGACAGCAGCAGCCCCAGCTCGAGTCGAACCAGGACTCTCATGGTCACGCTGAGGCCCCTGTGCGCTCCGTGCTCCGGGGAGGCTGCGGACACCAGGGCTGGCTGGGGCTCTCGGGTCGCCAACCGCCAGGCTGGGGCTGGGCTCTGACCCGCCCGAACGCGTGAGGACCTCTCCCAGGTATTTCCTGCAGGGCCCTGTGATTGGCTGACTGAGGCACCTCGGGTTAACCATTCCAGCAGCAGATCCTCCCTGCGGTTGGAGCCACTGCCTGAGGGGGGCGAGAGCGGGGCCCCTTCCTCTGGAAGGGCAGCCTGGGCACGGCTAGCTTGCCTCAGGGCTGCGGGGCAGGGCCACCTTTTCTATGCCCGAGGGGTGACCCTCTCTCTAAGGTCTGCTGCCAACGACGGGGACCTGAGGCAGAGGTCCCACAAGACCCCATCCCCAACATTCCACCTAAGAGGCCTGAACACATCCCTGCTCCACTACCCTCCCAGCCCCTTCCCTGCTTGGCTTCCTTGGTTCTGGCAGCTTAGACACCCTCACCCCACCCCTAGCCTTAGGTCCCAGTTGGGGGTGGGGAGGTGGGGTCCTCTCCTCCCAGGGCCTGGGCTGTGCGCCCATCCGTGTTCGGGGCTGGACTCTGAGGGGACTGAGAAGGTGCTGGCTGAGTCATGCTCCCCTTCCCAAACTCCAGGGAAAATTCCTGAGGAAATGGCCAAAGCCCCACAGGGCAAACGGGGAACCCACTGGGCCTTTTGTCTGCTGCCTCCTGGCAAGGGTCTCTTGGGCTGTACGGGCAGGAGGAAGTAGGGCAGGACCCCAGTCTCTAGGCCCAGGGCTCGAGGGAGGGCCGTGACCCCCAGTTCTGTACCTCCCCTCCCTGTTGCCTCCCTCTCTGGCCTTTGAACCTCTTGGCTTATCTCTGCCTAGTTGGCAGTGCAGGGGAGGGGCAGGCCGCAGGGAGCCAGCTAGCACCCCTGGCCAGGTCTCAGGGCAGCTTTTTTTGTTTGTTTCTTCCTGGAGGGAGTGTGTGGGCGTCCCCTTCCCCACCTGGTTCCGCTGACCACTGACCCTGAGCCCTGTGAGGTGTGGCTGGGATGGAAGAGGTGAAGCTTCAGGGCAGTTGGGAGCCTAGAAGGACTCTGTCCCCAGAGTCCTGTGGGCCCAGGGCAGGGCATCATGCTGAGGGCAGTGTCCTGGGCCTGAAGTCGCCCTGCCCACATTCCTGCTGGATGACCCCACAGCGGGATATCACAGTGTCCTAAGAAGGAGCTGGGCCAGAGGAGATTGGCAGGGCCTGCCGCCGGGGATTTGGAAGATTCCTGGAACCTGGAGTCAACAAGCAGGGAAGATGGAGAGATTCGGGCACTCTGAAGACTGGAGGCCCAAACTGGCCTTTTTCCTGCCGCCCAGCACCGGGCCCAGCAGGCTGGCTGGGGCAGGAGCTGAGGACCTGCCTGCCTCTTCGGGTCACCCACTGCTCAAGGGCCTATTAACTTCTGGGCAAAGATCTCAGACCAGCCTTCCAGCCTGGCCGTCCCAGGTCCAGGCAGCACTGCCTGAGCCCTTGAGGGCCTGGCATGTGGCTTGCACCCCCCTGGGCAGCCCCTCTGACCTCAGTAACCTCACGCTGGCCCATAGCAGCCAGAGAAGGCATCACCAGCCCCCTGCACCTCTGACTGCCCCCTACCTGGTGCCGGGGTCACCTTCTGGGTGCTGCACCCTCTCCTGTGTCTCTGGGCCCCTCCTGCATCATTCCATCATCCAACACGCACACCGCAATCCCTCCTGTCTTCAAATACACCCGTGTCCACAGCAGCGTTAGCCTCTAAAACACCGAAACAACCCGGGCATCCACTGAAGGATGAAATAAAATATGGTCTATGCAGTACAATGGGGTAGTATTCAGCCTTAAAAAGGAAGGAAATTTTGGGGCATCTCGCAGGCTCTGCTGGTAGGGCCTATGACTCTTGATCTCAGTGTCATGAATTCAAGTGCCACATTGGGAACAGCACTAAAAAAAAGGAAATTCCAACACATGTACAACATGAATAAGCCAATCACAAAAAAACAAGCCCTGTGTAACCCCACTTGTAGGAGGCACCTAGTCAATCTAGGGACAGAAAGGATGGTGGTGGCCAGGGGCTGGGGGAGGGGACAGGGTCTGTGTGGATGTGGTGACAGCTGCACAGCACTCTTAGTGTACTTAATGCCACTGAGCTTTAAAACGTTTCAAATGGTCGGGCGCCTGGCTGGCTCAGTCGCTAAAGCATGCGGCTCTCCATCTCAGGGTTGTGGAGTTCAAGCCCCATATTAAAAATAAAACCTTTAAAAAATAAAGAAGGCAAATTTGATGTTGCATTTAATTAAAATAAAAAACCAACAATCATATAGACCAAAGCAGCCCTCCTTGGCAGTCTCTTCCAGGCTCCCCTGAAGCTTCCCTCCCCCAATCTTGTCAAAGTCCCTGAGGGCTCCACGGGCCACCCAGTGGTGCCACTTCCTCATCTCAGTCTGCCCTGGGCCCAGCTGCTCCTCCAAGGCTAGGGCCTCTCTGGGTTTCCTTGGCCCTGGCTGTCCCTTCTTCGGCTCCTTTGCCAGTCTTTCTACCACAACCTCCAAGTGCAACAGTGCCAGCCCCGGGGTCTCTAGGGTAGAGCTCCTGGCACCTAGCACAGTAAGTGTTTGCCATGGAGATAACAAGCCTTCGTCTTGTTCACCTCCTTCCTTCTGAGCCCTAGCCTCTGACATCCAGCCCCCACCTGACATGCCCTTGACCAGCTGACACAATCAGACTCAGCCTATGAGAACTGTTCTGGCCACACCCTCAGCCCCTCCTGGTGCAGGTGTCCACGCGGCCACAGGAGCTTCTCCATCTGTCTAGCTGTTCGGGTGCGAGGCCTGGGTACTCACTGCACACCAATCCAGCCCAGCAGGGAGCATCGTGGGTGTGACACATGGCAGAGCCCCCACTGGCCATGGCCCCTCGTGCCAGTCTATCTTCCCCTCCTAAGACCTAAGGGGACGTGGGGCACGTCTCTGCTCTGAGGCTCCCACTGGCACCCAGGGCTCTGGGTACAATCCGAGTCCTCACCTGGCCTCTGCCCCCTCCTCCACCTGGCTCCCTACTCCCCTGTTCCTTGCCAGCTCTGCTGTCCTTGACTGCCCCATGAGAAATGGCACCTCCCTAATGGCAGCCATCTCACAACAAAGATAACTTTGCTTGCTTGTCAAGTCTGAAATACTACATGCCTTATTTAATTGCCTTTAATGCTGCAGAGATCCAGAAGCACTACTCGGAAAAGGGAACGCCACAATTAGGCTCTGGCATGTCCCTTATCCCAATGGCATAGTTGCTAAAACGTGACGCGATGCACCCTGGAATCCAGAGCCTTGGTCTTGGGGCTCGTTGCCGGCTGCCTGTGAGGAGGTGGCTGTGATGCCGTGGGCCGTGGGGTGGGGCTCACAGCAGCTGGCACCGCAGCAGGTGCAGGAAGCACTGGCAACTGAGCCAGCAACGGCCTGTGAACACCTGTGTCCCCACCTGCAGACTGTCGCTTCCCCCACCTGACTTTGCTCCCGAGCAAGGGACACCCTCTGCAGTGGGCAGGACAAACCGTCTGTCCTGTGAGTCACCTACTGGGGCCCTGAGGAGTCACCACAAGGACAAGGCCTGCGCTGGCCTGTGGCGTCCCCCAGGGCAGGGAGAGGCAAGGGGGCAGCGCGGCGGTGCTCTGGACCCCCAGCTGCCTAGAGCTCTCAGGGGAAGGGCGGGGAAGCGGATGTGGAAGGCAGCCGCCTCTGTGGTGAGACCCAAGCCTTGCTTGGGCCCCGCCCCCACTCACCCCGGCAATGCCCATCAGGGAAGCTGGTTTCAGACCCTTCCCTGAGGAGCAGGCCCCACGGTCGTTCGGAGCATGAGGCAGGTCCCACCCGAGGCACAGGGGGAAGACAGAAAGGCAGGGCAGGGCAGGCCCAGCTGGGGGAGAGCAGCCACAGCAGGAAGGGGGTGTCGGAAAACATCTTTATTGTGGGGAGGGCAGGGCGGGAGCTCTGGGGTGGACAGACACACAGATGGAGCCGCTATGAGCAGCAAGATGCATGGGGGCCACGCAGGGGTCGAGGTGGAACACAGCTGCAGCCCCCCACTGGGCCCACCCGAGCACCTTCCTCCCAGACCTCGGGAGGCTCAGGCATGCAGGAAGCGGTTGAAGGCGTTGTAGGCCGACTCCAGGTCGAAGAGCATCTGGCGCACCTGGGAGTCGTCCAGCTCATCCGAGGCCGACATGCCGCTCAGGGTCTGCAGCCTGTGGGAGCGCAGCGCTGACGGGTGTGCTTTGCCGCCCTTGCGGGTGGGAAGGCTCGGGCTGGTGTACTCACCACTGGCTGACGGTCTGGCGGCCCTCGAAGTCGGCGGGCAGGTGGCTCATGCGGTGCATAGTCTCCATCAGCTCCCGCAGATCCGGCTGGATCTGTGGACAGGGTGCTCAGCCCCGTCCGTCAGGAGCCCTCTCCCAGCCCTCCCCGCTCCCGCGCCCCCCCATCCCTTCGCCCCCGCCGGAGCCGCACCTCATCCATGGCACGAATCTCCAGGCGCAGTTTGTCCATCACCGTGATGAACAGCTGGGAAAAGTGTGCATGTGAGGCACCACAGACCCGCTGCAGGCCTGGAGGGGGGACCCCTTGCAGCCCGCAGGCCTGGTTCCTTTGCAGGCCCAGGCCCAGGCCAGCCCCCAGCCAGCCTGTCTGGCCTCAAGAGCCCACTGTCTCCCTCCTCAACCTTTCTCCTTGGCTGTCTGGTCACGGGGTCCTTGCTGGACCCCCCTGTTCCCATAGCCTGTGAGCTCCTCTATGACACCTGGCCCACAGGGCTCTGGCTAGGCCTCCTGGGGCTGTGGGTGCACGGGAGCCCTGGCTGCACTGACCCTCCGTGCGTCCCGCAGGGGTTTCTCCTGGATGCTGCCTAGGGAGCAAGTCCTGCCCACCCCTCATCCCTAGCTACAGAGACCCCCGCCTAGTGTGTGTGAGGGCTATGCAGCTCTGGGAGCCCCGGGCTTCTTTGCACACAGTGGCCACAGCAGGCAGTACTGGTCCCCCTGACCCCTTGTAGGCCCCCGGAGGCCGCGGGAGCCCCCTCCCCCGACCCCCTGTAGGCCCCCAGAGGCCGCGGGAGCCCCCCCCCGACCCCCTGTAGGCCCCCGGAGGCCGCGGGAGCCCCCTCCCCCGACCCCCTGTAGGCCCCCGGAGGCCGCGGGAGCCCCCCCCCCGACCCCCTCTAGGGCCCCGGAGGCCGCGGGAGCGCACCGAGACCACGTCTGCAATGCAGCGGTTCAGGTTGCCCTTATCGTCTTTGATGGTGATAGGACGGTCCTCTTTGATCCTCTCCATGGCCAGTGGGCAGTCCAGCTGGGGGAGGGAGGGTATCATGGGTACTGGGCCTCACAGGGCAGGTGGCCAGACCCCTCCCCAACAGCACACGCACCTCCCACCTGCTGTTCCCCTGGGAGTGGAGGGGCCCCGCTCACTCACACGGAACTTGCGGCAGAATTCATCAATGGAGCTGATTTCTGCGCCCTGCACCTGCCGGAAGGCGGCTTTGTACTGGACCAGGAGCCGGGAACAGGCTGCAGTGTACCTAGAGAGAGGGCCAGGCTGCTGCCCTCAGGACCAGGCTAGCCCTGCCCACACATCCTGCACTCTCTTGGCCCATCCAGACTTAGGGCAGCTCTCGGAGAGATGAGAGATGGGACACGAAGGCTGGGGCTTCCCTCGGGGTCTAAATAAGAGAGCCTGAGAGGACGGTAAGCAGAAGAGGAAAGTGGCCCAAATACGGCTGGCTGCCACACGGGATGAGCCCAGACCCAGGCAGAAGCCTGGCCAGCTCCCTCTTCTGGAAGACACTGGCCACGCCTCCACATGGACAGCTCATGGTCCCACAATGCAGGCCTATTGCACTGAGCAAAGGTCCCGTGTGCCTCCTAAGTGCCAGGCCTGGCCAGCAGCTCCTCACATGGTGACCTCCCTTCTGAAGCCATTTCGTCAACGAGGACGTCTGTGCCCGGGGAGAGCAGGACTGGGAAGCCCAGCCCAAGTGGTGGGCACATCTCTCCTCTGGAGACACTTCCGTGCCACCACTACGACATCGCTGCCAAGGCCACAAGCACCCAGGAGCAGCCCCCGTGTGCTGGGTGGACCCCACGGGAGTGGGCCCCTCATGGCCCGGAGAAGGCAGGGTCCATATAAAGCCCAGCTTGGGCGCTGGACCCCTGCTCTCGCCGCTTCCTGAGCACCCGGGCCTGGAGCGCAGCTTCCTGTGGCTGGCGCTGATCAGTAAGCAAGGGCAGTGGGCTCTCACTCGTTGGGGGTGACGCAGTCCTTGATGTATGCCTTCTCCAGGGCCTGCATCGTCTTCACAACTGCAAACAGCTCTGCCATGTTGTCATACCTGAGGATGATGTGCCCGTCAGGCCGTGGCTACCAAGGTCCCCAAAGCTCAGGGCGCCAGCCCTCCTGGGGTGTGTCAGAGCTCTATACTTGACCTGCTTCTCTCTCCCTGCCCCCGCAGAGAGTCCTTGGGAACTGCTTCCCCAGCCTGACCCCAGAGTGGGGGTGGTCCGGAGGTTGGGGGAAGTTAATCAATGGAGGCAGGTGAATGTGATGTGTGTTGGGTGGGGGCAGTTCAGGGGGTGTACTCACTTCTCCCGCTCCCGGGCATTCTTGTACAGCTTCACCTCCTGTAGGAGAGAGGGCAGCGTGTCTGCCAGCAGTGCCAGGTGGCTGTGGGGTCTGGGTGAGGCTCACACAGGCACTGAGCAATGCTGGCCCGGGGGACACCTGCCACTCACCTCGTATAGCTCCGGCTTGTTTCCAGGGGCTGCAACAGAGCAGAGAGCTAGCAGGCTGGCCACTAAGGCCGCCCCAGGGGCTTGTCCCCTGGCCCTAGCCCCAGCCCCATTTCATTTGCCCACCCAAGGTCCACCCTGCGAAACATCCCAAAGACCCAGAGGGAGCTGGAAGATGGGATTCTACTCCCAGCACCCCACCAACTTGTCATTGGAGGGTGTGCTGAGCAGAAAACACACCTCTAGGGCCAGGGAGACACATGCCGGGCCTGACTCCCCATTCCATCGCTGCTCCTCAGCTACCTCACTCCATAGCAGGGTGACCACACCTTGCTTATGGTGCAGTGACAGGGCACAAATGAGGTTTGTCACATGCTTTGTGACGTTTCCCCTGGCTTGACTCCAGGATACCCAGGACCCCCTTCCAGTCACACTAAAGCTCTCACCTCTCTGCCGAGCTGGCCCCACCTGGAGGTCGGCTCTGGGTCCCCTGGTGATAAACTGCACCAGTCCCCAGCTGCCCACTGAGGCTTATATGGGGGAGACACGGGTCCACCCCACAACCCCTGGTCTCTGCAGCACGGCCTGAAAGCCTAGGCCCTTTGGGTCCCTGGGTCCAGCTTGGGCCACACTCACCTCCCACGCCTGGAGTGGCTGGGATCCCGTGAAACATCCTGCAGGCTCAGGCGGCCACACTGGAGACCTGGGGAGCAGAGCCAGTGCCAACTCAAAGGTGACCCCCGGCACCCCTGGGCCTCATGAAGAGCTTCCCTGCCCTCAGCAGAGTCAGATGGGAAACAGGTGGGATAGGGAAACTGATGAGCTCCATGAAGGACTTTCTTGCTCCTTTTCCTGCTTCACTCTTGCTGGGACCCGTCTCGTCTTCCCTGCCTTACAGCACAGATAACGTGCGTCTGCCTTGTAAAGATCCAGAGAGTGTAACTTACGTGGGTCCTCCAGCACCGTGGATAACCTCTAAAGAGCGATAGGGCAAGGCTGTCCTGTGGATATTCTAGACCACTGACGTGGACTCTAGACATCTTGATGCCAAGACCCCCAGGGCACTGGTCTTTGTTTTGACCAGCTCCTGGGTGCCTGAGGACATGTACATCAGACCCCAAACCTCAAAAAAAAAAACAAAAAAAAAACTCCTGACCCCAAGCAGAGGAGAGACTCGCACTTCTCTGCTTTCGGAGTTTCCCAAATACTCCCTCTGCTATGCTCTATCACTTATACTACTCAATAAACTCTGTTCTCACTTCCTTCTGGCTTATGTTTCATTTCTTTCTTTTTAAAAAAATTTTTTTAAAATGTTTTATTTATTTCTGACGGGGGGGGGGGGAAGAGAGACAACGTGAGCAGGGGAGGGTCAGAAAGAGGGAGATACAGAACCTCAAACAGGCTCCAGGCTCTGAGCTGGCTGTCAGCACAGAGCCCGATGTGGGACTCGAACCCGCAAACCATGAGATCATGACCTGAGCCGAAGTCGGACGCTTAACCAACTGAGCCCCCCAGGCGCCCCTTGTGTTTGATTTCTAACCTATGCGAAGGCAAGGACCCTCTTGGCTGGTCTGGCAGGAGCCCCTCTGGGCCCCTGGACGTGGCCTGCCTACATCATAGTGATGAACACACAGGCACTATGTGCTCTGGTGGGGACACCAACTCTGTCCTAGACTGTCAGGAGGAAGTGGGTGCTGGCAGCATCTCAGCAAAGCTGAGGGCAGTGGTGAGGGGTGGGGGCACACTGAAGGCTGCTGCGAGCCAGGAGGAAGAGAAGGTGGCAGGTATCAGAAGACCTGGGGAGGAGCATTTGGGCAGAGAGAAAAGCACACATAACACAAGGCCTCTACAGAGAAATGACAAGGGGAGGGGGAACTTTCTGAATGAGGATGGAGATACAGGATCAAAGCGCACAGCTCTTGCGGGTCAGAAGTAGGAGTTGGGTTTTTTTTTTTAATTTTTGAAATGTTTTATTTCTGAGAGAGAGAGAGAGCAAGAGAGCAGGAGAGGGTCACAGAGAGAGGGAGACACAAAACCAGAAACAGGCTCCAGGCTCTGAGCTGTCAGCACAGAGCCTGACGTGGGGCTCAAACCCACACTGTGAGATCAAGACCTGAGCTGAAGTCGGACGCTCAACCGACTGAGCCACCCAGGCGTCCCCAGAAGTATGAGTTTGATACTAACCCAGCAGAACTTACTGATGGGTTAAACACAAGTTTTTGGGGCTCCCAGTGAGAAAGTGGGCTGAGAATGAGCAGAAGCCTGAGGCGCTTGGAGGGTCCCGCCCACTCAGGGCCAGTTTCAGACATGCTTTGGAGATGAAACCAAACCCACTGAAGTATTTGAAACAGGATGAAAATTACAAGGAATCAAGAACAATTCCCGTTTCTGGCCCAATGACAGGTAAACTGAGTCCGAAGAGATGGAAGAGGAGCAGACTTGGAGGAACTCGCGCCCCGGTGCCGCAGCATAGGCTCCGCAGGCATCCGAGGTGTCCCGAGGCAGCTCAAGCCAGAGGAGAGGCCGCGCCAGCTAGCACCCCGAGGCGATGACACTGGGGGTGGGTGGCGTCACACTGGGGACGATTCATAGGGAAGACGAAGAAAGGAGCCCAGACTGGAGCCATAGGTGCCCAGTGAGCAGAGGCTGGGAAAGGGTTAAGGAGCACGACTCCGAGGGGAGGATCTGGTCTGGGAAGGCGGAAGCATTACAGAAGCCGGGGTGGGGTGGCAGCTGGGAGGGTGCTCAGCCACCGTCCCGCGGCTTCCGGGAGGGGTGCCGGGTCGGAGAGGGCTGAAGAGTGAGTGGAGGGATAAAGAAATCGCCTGCAGGTCTTCAGTGGGACTCCACTCTGTTGTGAAACGACCGTCTCCCAGCTACAAACGAATATACGGCTAAGTCTCAGAAGCCGGACTCTGAACCGAAAAGCGAGTTTCTAGAGAAGGCCCCTGACATCCGACCATGTAGATGCCGCTCAGGCTGCTCCCGGGCCCAAGCGAGCAATGAAGCGCCCCGAGTGGGGCACACCGCGCGGGGGTGCGGCCCGACCGGACGCGGAGGGGCAGACGGCGTCCGCGTGCGGCTCGGGGCCCGCGGGACACGCCAGGGGCGCTCGCCCACGGGGGCGCCGCGCCTGTGGAAACGGCCGCGCAGCGCCGGCGGGGCCGGGACTGAAGGGAGCACTCCACGACGGGGAATACGGGGCCTGGGCGCGAGGGGAGCCCTATGCGACTGGACGACGCCCGCAGACCTGGCCCAGCGGCCTTCTCCCGTGCGACTCGGCCGGCCCTGCCTAGCCCGCCCCATCCCGACCCGGGTACCTGCGCTCGCTTGGCGGGTGGGGGCGACCCGCGGCCCCGCGCTCCGAATCGACCCCTCGGCGCGCTTTGACGTCTGCGCCTGCGCGCGCACGTCCCCCTAGCTCCTGCGCTCTGCGCTCGATCGCCAAGGTCTGCGTCCGAGCGCGCCTCCCTCCCACCTGACGCCCGCGGCTGCGCGCCCCGGAAACGGGCGCGCCCCGACCCCTGGCCACGCCTCCCGCCGTGCCACCCGCAGGCGGGAGGCTCGGCCTTCGCGGGACGTCCAAATGACGGGACCTGCCGCACTTCCAGCGGGCACTCAGCTGCCCTACAGCAAAATGAACCCCCACTGTCCCTCGCCCACCCGCCTTCCAGGCAGCAGCGGGGGTGGAGGCAGCAGCGGTGATCGTTTATTTGAGGCGGGTCGCGGGGGGGCGGTGGAGGGCAGGGGCAGCGCCGGCGCGTCACAGGCGTCTGTAGCAGAGCTGGGAGCCGCGGTCCAGCGTGCTCGCGCCAGGGCCGGGCTGGCGGGGCAGCAGCTGGCGCAGGGCGTCCCGGTCCTCGGTGGAGAGGCGTCTGCTGCACAGCTGCAGCTCCCGGAGCTGCGTGGTGATCCCGTCCCAGAGGCGCAGGCCCAGGGGGCCCTGGACAGCACAGCCTGCAGGGGGCAGACGGGAGCTGGTCGCAGGGAGCGGGCGCCAGCGAGGTAGCCCGGGGAACCTGCAGGAGCCAGTGGCGTTCCCAGTTCACCTGCGGAATCCCCAGGCCGTGTTCTTTTCTCTCTGCCAACGTGGCCCTCAGGAAGAGGCACGCTTCCTCTGAGCCCCAGGGGTTACAACCGGGGGCTTGGGCAGATGCCCAGGACAGGCCCACTAACACCCTAGGGAGGCGTGTGGGCTCCTTCATAGCCAGTCGGCAGGCAGGAGGGAGACTGGCTAAAAGAAATGCTGGGACCGCAGCGCCTCTGACAATTTCTAGGACAATGCCTGGGTGTCTCCATCTGTAGAATGGACACGACAGGAGTACCTGTGGGCCGTAGGAGGACAGGTCTCCAGAGGCCAGGGTGCCCGGTAGGCCCAGGGCCCTAGGGAGCTCGGGGAGAGGATGGGTACAGGTGCCAGGTGTTGGGGGGCAGCCCCTCAGCTGTGTGCAGATCTCCCACCAGCTTGCCTTCAGGGTGGCGGTGAGGAGCAGGAGGGACCCCGGGGTTCCCGGGGGACACACCCACTCCTTGTCCTTGTCCTCCTAGAGGGCAGAGCCTAGTACTCTCCTGCCGCAGGCCCCAGCGGGATGTGCCAGGCTGCTGCGTGGCCATTTTACCAAATTAATGTCTCCTGGGGTCACTCTCAAGGCAGCCGTGGGAGGGTGCTGTGCCTGGGTGTGGGGCCAACATGAGAAGACGCTAAGACGCCACAGGCTGAAGGCAGCGTCAGGGCAGGCCCTGCCAGGAAGTGGGAAGATCCCTTGGTGGTAGGTTCTTGCCGTCCTGATCTTGAGCTGTCCTTTTGCCAGTGGTAATTAGGGACCCCTTGTGGAGGGGGATCTGTCCCCCCCAAGCACCGTGGTCCCCGAGGTTCAGGCTGAACAGGCCAAAGGCAAAGACCACATGCTCCTCCCGTCCTGTTTTAGGAACTGGACTTACACCCCCTTCCAGTCACACTGGTCACTGTCTCCCTCCGTGTCGACCTCAGGGAGCCCAGCCCATCTTTGCCATCTGGCTGCCATCGTGCCTCCTAGAGGAGGGGGAGGGCCTCACGTAGGTCCCCAAGCTCACCTGACAGGCCAAGGAAGGTGAGGCCTTGGGGCCGCACCTGGAGGGCAGACAGGAGCTCCTCCAAGCCAACACGGCCAATGTCAGGGTTGGCAGACAGGTCCAGTGAAATGAGTGAGGGGCAAAGAGGAAGGCATCTAAGACAAGGGAAGAAACAAAGGGGTCACCTCCAGGGAAGGAGGCCCCCAGCACGACAGAAAGCTGCCCCAGACAAACCACAGCTCTGGGAGCCATAGGCCAGGCCCTGTAGGCTCTGCCCCTGGCATGCACGGGTACAGGTGCTTCTCCAGGGCCGGCTGGACACTGCCACGGGTGAGGGCCATCGCGGCCAGGCCTGGGTATGCCTCCCTGGCTTGGGTTGCCCAACACTCCCAAGAGCCAGCTGAGGCTGGAGGGTCACGAGTGGCCCCTGCGTGGGCTGCTGCAAAACGGGTGAAGGGAAAGGCTCTCAGGAGTGTGGACAGAGGAAACACAAAGAGGCAGGGCTGAAGCTGCAAGGGGCTACGTAGGTCCTAGGACACAATGGGGAAGAAGCTGTTACTACTGGTGTTACTACTGCTGTTGCTTCCCTGCCTGACCCAGCCCTGCAGAGTACTGGGCCCTGAGATCAGACTCCCCCAGAGGGGTGCAGGAGCGGGGTGGTGCAGCATTACCTGCTCAGTTCAGTCACCGCCTCGTCGCCCAGGTGGTTTGCAGACAGGCTCAAGTGAGCCAGAGCACAGCCTTCCTAGACACACAGAGGCCCAAGAGGAGCTGGGTTAGGTGGGGCGCCTGCCCTCTCTGCCTCCCAGTAGAGGCCCCGAACCCAGGTCAGATACCTTCCTTCCTCGGAAACAAGGGGCCAAAGACTGCCTGACCCCTCAAGGCACTGGAGGGGAGCAGTATCCCTTCAATTTGAAAATCAAAAGGAGGGGCGCCTGGGTGGCTTAGTTGGTTAAGCGTCCGACTTTTGCTTGGGTCATGATCTCACGGTTCGTGGGTTCGAGCCCCGCGTCGGGCTCTGTGCTGACTGCCAGCTCAGAGCCTGGAGCCTGTTTCAGAGTCTGTGTCTCCCTCTCTCTCTGACCCTCCCCTGCTCACCCTGTCTCTCTCTCTCTCCTAGAAATAAATAAAAATATTAAAAAAAAAAAAAATCAAAAGGAAACGCCTCCCATTCTAAGTATTAAGTCACCCCCGACGTGAAAGTCACAGGGATCAGCCCCACGTGGAAGACTCCGGGGAAAGGGCCCTAGCAAGCCTGGCAAGACTCTGGGACCTGCCTGGGGTCCTAGGCACCTTTCCTGCTGGCCAGGAATTCACAGGCCGAGGCCAGCAGCTCTACTGAAAGCTTCACCCACAGCTGTTCTTTCTGAACCTGGACCCCTCTTTCCAGGCTGCCCCCACCCCACCAGGTCTCAGCCGTGGAACTGCAGCCTGGACGGCCCAACGGCGCTTGGCTTTGGCACCCTCCCCCATCAATGGCATACACACCTTGGTCAGGAACCTGACCACAGGCTCTATGAGGCCTGAGTCACTCTTGCTGGCTGCCACAGAGCTGAGCTCCAGGCGCTGGAGGGTAAGGGTGGGCAGGCTCTGCAGGGCCTGGGCCAGGGCAGTGGTGCCCAGGATGTTGTAGGACAGGGACAGTGTCTTCAGGTACTTAGCATCTGCACAGGGGGCCAGAATCTCTGTCAGCCGCACACGATCGCCACCCCAGCCCAGCTGCAGTCCTAGCCCGACACCTTCACGATTCCTCTGGGGAAGCTATCATCCCTGAGGCTTTGTACACGCAGAACTGAGGTAACTGCTGCCTGGGGTTTCCCAGGCAGGGAGGAGGCAGGGCCAGACTCCTGTGCCCACCCTCTCCCCACCATCTCTGGGCCACCTGCCTCCCCCTCCCAAGGTGGGACGGGGTACCTGAGACAGGCCCTGGGCTGGGATGTCTGTGAACAATGGGGTGGGGTTGGTGAGCCCTGCCTGCTGCCCCAACCCCAGCCTCTCCTCTGCCGTGGCTCACATCCCTCAGCCCCACTTCCCAGCCCGCCAGCCTCTCCTCTGCCGTGGCTCACATCCCTCAGCCCCACTTCCCAGCCCGCCACTTCTGCAGAAAGCCCCCTTAGAGAACTCCTAGTTCCCAGTCTCTCAGTACTGGGACCACTACTCTCTGCAGCCTCAGTGTGTCCGTGGTGGGATCGTCTAAGGCAAATGGAACACTAAGAGCCGGTGAGAACAGGGAGACGGGGACAGTGGCCCATGGCATGTCTGAGGGGAGTGACCTGAGCCCAAGCAGACCCAGCACATCCACCTACGTGCTCCTAGACACCAGGCGTGGTGGCCAGGGACCCCTCTGGCTCAAGGCTCTCTGTGCCCCTGGACATGCCCTTCTGATGGCAACTGGAACGCTGAGGCCAGGGGGTGGACATGCCCATCAGCTCACCTTGGAAAGCACTTCCTAGGGCTGCCTGGTGGCTCAGGAAGAAGCTGGGGCCAAAGCCACAGGCCTGGAGACGCAAGGTGCTGAGTGAG